CTCCCTCTCTCTCCCTCCCTCCCTCCCTCTCTCCCTCCCTCCCTCCCTCCCTCCCTCCCTCCCTCCCTCCCTCCCCAATAACTGATGTCTCTGCGACCGCTTTCCTTCCTTGCTTCGTTCATCGCAGCCGATCATCAGTTCATGTGCAAGTATGAGAATATGCATGCATCCTGCAAAGGCTATGCGATCTGATTCACGCTCGTCCGCTTCGTTCAGAATAGCAGCGCGCGGCTGTCGAAGATCCCGCAGCCTTGCGCCCCGGAAAAAATGCAAGCAAACAGGTCTTCATGTGGTCAGCGTGGATCTTTCTTGGGATTTCGGTGCCTGTTGTTTTTGCACTTCGATGAAATCAGCGCGGAAGAAAAGGACCGGATCCCGCCTGCCAGCTCCAGTGCCCCGGAAGGGCTGCAGGCGGCAGCGCCTCACGTGTCGGAGAACTCCAGGATCCAACGGCACCGTCCCCTGCTGAGGTATCCACTCGCCGCGATGAGCTGCAACTCCTCCTTCGAAGACGCATGAGCGTTGATCTGCAGCTTGCCACGGCGTGACTTGCCTCGGCTCCCAGCAGCGCCATGGCCGGGAGCCTCGTCCATTCTCTGAGTCTCTGGCAATGTGACGATCTGTTGGGGACTCGGAGGAACAGAGCGAAAAAGACTGGTCTGCTCTAGCTCAAAACATCCAACCTAGCTTATGACCTGCTATCATCAACTGCCTGGGTGGGCGCTTTCGAATAAGCCCGTAATCTCGAACATATGAAAACTGACATCGGCCATCTGCAGCACCTGATCTCGTCCACGAAAAGAGCTACAAGGCCAGCAAGCGCCGCCAGCCGGCTCTCCACCTGGAGGCACACAACAAAGTGAAACATACGCAATCGTGGGCAGTAGCAATGCCATCAACGATGTGTATGTATGCATGCATGCATGGNNTGATGCATTGCAGGCAGCTCTTGAGATGACTGCCAAACCAGGGCTGCCCGGCTTTCCGGAAGTGGCGACAGCATGCCAACATGGACAGCAGTCACATACGATCCCTTATCGTCCCTTATCCCTCAAGCGGGCACACCGATTACAGCAGATATTGCAAGGATTCAAACGGTATTCATTCGTGGGCTTGCAGGGTACTCAGACACGCACTGATCATGCAGTGGTTCAGATATTGTTGTGGCATCCATATGGTTATTGAGTGGGGATGCACTGCCGGCGATAAGGCAGCAGGAGTTCTGCTTGCAATCAGGTCACGGCTTTTCCAGTCCTGCAACGTCGTTCGTGTTCACACACCGCCAATTCAGTTCCACGGAAGGGTTGGTGCAGTTCGCTTGTGTAGAGGAGATGCTGATGCTTGTGTCATGGTGGCATATGGGGACCCATATGTTCTAGTGGAACCTCATAGCCAATCGCAGTGGTCTTCAAATGAACGATTGTGGGCATGGGTCCAACATCTGGTGGACTCACTACCACATCGATGTGTGCCAGTCTTACTGCTGAATCCGTGCTGCGGCCTTGCGCGACGTGCGTCGATGTCTTGCAGTCGGGGATGGGCTGGCCGTGGTGAAAGGCAGAGATGAACAGGGATTCTCTGCTGGCCGGCGCTCGTGCGTCAAACTTGCGTTGCAGCGAGGCGGTAGCGCCTGCTACCCGGCTACCTCTTTGAGGGGACTGAGGCGACACTGCTCAGGAACTGCGGTCTTCAGACTTGTCTGCAACGAGACTGTGATGGTATGTCGGTATGTCCAGACACGTTGTGTCTTCCCTTCTTGAGAGTCGGGCTCCGGCTGGGTTAGGGACCCAGGGACTGAGACGTTCAGATGTCGATTCGCTCAGCCAAGGCACACCGGTCCTTCAGCTAAGGTACCCTTTTGCTCTGCAGATGGCTACATCCTGGTGTTCTTTCTTTTGGATGTCCAGCGTGTAAATCGTGCAGGGTCGCTTCCGTGGTCTATATTTCCCCAGTAAGTAGATGCTGTGTATGTGTATGTGTCTGTATACTGACTGTATTTATATGCATTATGATGCTTTCAGAAAAAGAGAGTGACGCCATGGCAGTGAGGCTCGGCCTCGTCGCCAGCTCGCGCCTCTGCAGCAGCGCTGGCGGCCTCCGAACTCCCGGCTGTCCCACTGGCTGTCCCGACAGGAAGTCGCAAAAGGAAACGCATGCCGCAAGCTTCTCCCTTGTCCTGGGCTCCTGGCAAGAGACCGGGCGAAGGCCTCGCGGCCTACATCGCGGAGCGCCGGCTCATTGGACCTGATCTGAAGGCTATTGGCCCTTCATACGGTGGCTGGCCTTTCCAGGACAGCCCCGCAGTTGAGAGTTTAGAGGGTCGAATTCCGCCTCGTCATCCGAGTGAAAGGCTTTCTGCTTGTCGTTCAACAAGTGCACGGTGTTGCTGTTGGATGCGGGTTGAAGGGGCCACGCGCTGTGCCCCCAGCTCCCCTCTCCTCGCCTCCACATTATCCTCCAAGGTCTTGCTTATTAAGCGCCTTTAGGCCAATCGGCTCTGTCTGGGGCGATTGGGTTTCCAACTGGCCTAGATGCTTGAACGTTCAGCGCGGCGGGAGGTGATCTTGTGGCAACCCAGGACAAGTCAGAAGAGCCGTAAGTGCCATCCATGTTCCTCTGTTTGCGAGAAGGACAGTACTGACCTAGAGTGCATTGTATAATCCTCAAGGACAGTTTTCCGGGCTGCCCGCCAACGAGAAACCAATGAGAAACCAACAGTGCCGTTGCAAAATGACTCAGCGTGAATCTTGAAGCAACTGCCTAGCCGATGCGGGCTGAGAGCACCAAGCGAAAACTCAGCCGCAGGCGGTCGCAGCAGGGCCTTGAAGTTCACTATGCCGGGGCCTGCATGAGCCGACTCACACCAGAGCGCAGCCTGCAGCTCGGCCCAAGCCCGTGGCGCCGAAGGTCGCCGTCCGTGCGGCTGGGGAAGCCGTTAGCATTCTTGCACGCCTAGCATTGGAGCAGACTCCAAGTTATCTTCAAGCGCTGCACACTGCGGGGCTCCGGCACCACCCAGGAAGCTGGCAAGTGCCGCCCAGGACTCGGCTGCTGCCTCCTCGGCTGCGCAGGTGGCATCCGACCTGGAAAGACGTTGCAGGGGATGAAACCAGGAAGGGTCTGACTCCTGATTCCTGAAATAAACTCTGGCCGCCGCCAGCGGTCCTGCATGTTAGCCTCGGCCAACATAAATTCATGTTGAAGCCACGCTTGCCTTGCTAGATCTTGCCAGGTGCAGCACACGGCAGCGGAGAGTCAATCGGTACTCCTGGCCTGGCGAAGTGTGCAAAAACATGGGTTTCAAGATGTGGCAAGGGAAGCCTGCAGGCAGAGGCCATAGTGTACTGTAGCCGTAGAGCAAGTGGGCTTTGTCAGCTTGTCGACATATCATGGATTTGCTTCGAGGACCCAGAAGAGCAAACAAGCAACCCCCTGCCTGGACGAAGAACTATGGCCTCCGGCAAACGCTCCCAGGCGTATGAGCCCTCCACGCGCGAGGCTGGGCCCACAGAGATGGACGCCAAGAGGTCCTCTGCAAAGCAGCGTGCAGGTGACATGGATGCGCTATGAAAATTTCGACAGCAAGACCTTTACGCATCTGTGGGAGGATATCGGAGGTAAGTACCTATCGTATCCGATCAACCGACAAGGGACCCCTGTCCCTCACGAGTGCCTGTGATGCAGCATGCCACAGAGAGACAGCTGCGGCCTGCGAAAGAGATTCAGTAATTTGGCTGCTTTGAGAACAGCGACTTTGGGTGCGAACACGAACGAAACACGAACACAAACAATAACAAACAATAACAAACAATAACACATACTGCATACTGACACAGACGCACACACAACACAGTTCATTCGACAGCAGGAGACTCATGCAGGCTCGGGCCAACCTCCATCAATGGTGGCTCACAGGGGCGGCCAAGCGCTGTCACCTGCCGTCGCACGTAGCCTTGTCCTCCCTCTCATGGCCTCTTCGCCAACATCCCACTTTTGGCCGAGTCTCTTCCGAAAACGCCCAAATCTCCATTCTCTCTTCGCATCTCTCCTTTCTCGCTGTCGCCTCGCAGTCCAAGTTGACGAGGAAGCGGAAGCCGGCCTCGCCCTCGTAGTCCTTTTTGCGCTCTATGCGCTCTCGGCTCTCTTCCTGCTGAGACACTGCATCATTTGTGAGCGGACGTCCGAGGATGCTTGCTCTGCTACCCTATTCTCTTCTGATTTGCCCGTTCACCTCTGTCTACTCGCCTCGCGCCCTTGGCTTCAAGTGTCCTTCCGTTTCACCTGCATCGGCTCGTGTTGCAATTGTAGTCTCCGAATGTTTGCTCACGTAGACAGACTTTGGCCTGCGGGCTTGGCACAAGGCTCTGGTTTTCCCTCGCAAATTTATTGGACGGTCGCTTTGTTTCACGAGCTCGTCATAGCTCGTCCAGTACCGCACTTTGGCCGTGGTCTTGTGATCGCTCGGTGGATGGGTCTGAATGCGCGTAATTCTGTTGCTTCTCTTGGGCTCGGCCTGCCTCAGGATGTGTCTGCAAATCGCTGCATCAAGGCACAGACTAGCCATCAAACGTCAGAGGCCCCGAATAGCTTGACCCATGTGACCTTAAACAGGAACATTCGGCACAACTTTCCGTCCGAAAGAATGCGTTCCTCTCCGGTACGCGCAATTTGAGTCAGCCTGCCGAAGTGTTGTCGGATCTTCAGAGGTGCATGCACCCCAAAGCTTAACAGTCGAAAGTAGACAACTTCATCAAGGCGGACACAAGTAGTGGGCCCAACTTCTTGACATGCGCACGTTCAACAGCCCAAAAAGATCTGCATTCTCCCCACTCTGAGAGCTCGGCATTGCGGGCCCCAGGCCACCGACCACACCAAAAGGGCCGGGAGGCTGGGTCCTTCCGAAAGGCAGAGACGGAGACGGGGCACAGTGTCGAGTGGCACTCAGCCTCTGCTCAGCCTCTCCTCCCGCGGCACAAAAGGAACGGACAGCCCTTCCGGGCTCGGATCCACTTGCCGCACCGGCTCACGCACCTGCCGTCTTCTCACAAGGTCTGCAGGAGGCCCCGCTACAGTTTTGAGAAGAGGACGGGGACACCCAGATGCAGCTAATTAACCAACCGCGGCCAGCATGGCTTTTTTGCATGTGCCACGTCATCGAATCTCTTTTGAGGGGGGGCCGGGGCTCTGATGACTCCAATGTGTTCCTGCTCCACGCGAGAATGGGAAACACGTCGCCATGCATGTACAACAGTTTGCACTTCACAGCATGCATGTGCGATACATTGCGATGAGGACGGTTTCAGCTACAGTACTCGAAGGCAAAAGAGCTGATCCGTCCGAGATGCCAGCGGCCAGCATGTGTTGCGGGCGTGACACGACCGGTGACACAGCCGATGCTGCATGACGCTTGTTGCGAAACCGATCCACCACAGCAAGTCCGTGACCAGAAGCATCTTCAAGCCGGGGCCTGCTTCGCAACTTTTCGCCGGCGGGCCTTAAGGCAGAGGTAAGAAGGTCAGAATGTGCAGAAAAGGGGAGGGATGGAGAGAGAGAGAGAGAGAGAGACAGAGAGATTCCGCGATGAGAGACCTGATTCATCGTGCAATGCTCTTCGATGTCCTTGAAGCCTTAGGATGCCTTCGATGCCAGATGGATGCCAAGGCCACCGCCGGGGCTGCAAAGGCAGGAGCATCCACCACGGGATCGGCAGTGTGTGCCACCGCCGCTCCCGCCTTGGCATCCTCTCGCAGCACGCTCGGTCTTCCCGTATGATGTGCTCGCAGACGCTCGCGGGGCGGGGCCTGGCCTGCACTTTTTCCGGGAGACTTTGCTCTCGGAGAGCGGTGGCTCTCGCGAGGCCGAGGCCGCCGAGGCCCTGAAGGCAGGAAGCCAAGGCTTCCAAGCAGCGGCTCGAAGCTCCGCCGTCTCCGGTCCCACCTGAACTCCAAGGCTCCCATGGCTTCCCACCTCTCAGTGAAACTTCACGCTCTGGGTTCGCGACCCGACATGGCAGCCAGAGTTCGGAGTGATCTGCTATGTTTGACGTGATTGACGTGTCTCGATCTCCATGTCTCAGTGGTGCTTGATGGTTGCTCTTGGAAGGTGTGATTTGTATACTTAGGCCCTCAGTATCTCCTGGCCGCAGGATTTGTGAGTGAAGTGCATGTAGACAATGTAGACAGCTGCTCTTGGGGACGCTGCTAAGCGACAGTGATGTGGACGCACTGAAACACGGAAATGTCGGACAGCGTGTCCAAAATCTTCTCAGAGAAACTCGGATTTTTTGGACCTCGTGCTCCTCTTGCAAGGAAGCCTCACCCCAAAAGCCGGCTCACGGCGGAGCCTATGTGACAGGGAGAGGGTCTGAGCTTCGAGCGAGGCAAGAGCATCAAGAAGGCCCCATGCAGCCAAGGGACTGTGTCGGGAATCCACCAGGCCTTAAGTGCTCACAACATCGCTCGCAACTCCCACCGAGCCGCTTCGAGCCGCGAAGCGGCTTTGCTTTGGTCTGCAGCGAGTTCTCTGGGGTACCGCGCTAGGGTCTCTGCCGCCGTGACCACGAGGGCGTGGGCCGGGCTGAAGAGCACGCGGCCCGGAGTCGTCGTGTGGCCCTCGAGGCGGTGCACCAGGCGCGCCTTGTAAGGCGGCGCTTCTTTCAAATCTGCAAAAACAGCGCCCGACTTTTTTGCCGGGGGGCATTGGTCGTGGCCCATACGCAAACGTCACCATTGGGCTGGCCGCTCAGAACGTACCTGCGACAAAGCTTCAGATCCGGTCCAAAAGCATCTAAAATCGATGCTTCGTCTTGAACTCGGACGCTGTCATCGCTAAGAAGTGGCATCCATCTCCCACCCTCTTCTGATGATTTTTGGCACATCTACGAGTCGTTTCCACAAGGCCGGAACGCCGATGTTGCGGGTGACGATGGTGTCGAGACAGTGTCATGTTATGCTCCTTGATTAGCGACGATTGGGCCTATCGTTTGTCAACAGCTAGAACGGCCGGTCGTGCAGGTGACAAGACGTCTGCACCATCGCTGCCATGCCCTGGAGACCAGGCTCGAGTCCGAGGCTGTGTACATCATGTTTGCTGCAATTTCATGGCTGACGGTTGTACCAGGAACCAGCGCACCCACGTTGCAGGAACCGACCACGACGTAACAGGAACCAGGGGGCATGTAAAGGGAACTGTGGTGGGGCTATAACTGTTACCAGCCGGAGTTGTAATGGAAACCAGCCGGACAATGAAACCGAAACCGGGTTTTGGGTTGAGACTGTAAGGTTTCTGTTGTGGAGCAATAGTAATAGTGTTAAAGAAAACTAGTTTAAGCCGTACAGCAAAAACATTCAGAATAATTGAAACAATCAGAGCGAGATGATTGAGAATAGTACTTTTGCCACAGTCACAGGGAAGACATCGCCCTCCTCCTCCACGTTTGCTTTTGCTACGATGCTTTTGGTATTACAGGTCGTGCTATAACACTGTGCGTTTATCTGACAGTTTCACACTACTGTAAACATTACCAAGTCTCGTTTCATACTCTCCCTTTGTTCGTCAAGTTTTGGTTGACTTGTTCATCAACGGTTGCCATGTGTATATATATATATATGTGAATACATGCACTTGCTCTAGCTTTCGGTTCAGGATGTTCGCGCCTATCATCACCCTTTTTGAATCTTGTACTTCCTTTTTACATCATTTATCTCATTTAAAGTATGCTGTAAGGCACTCCATACAATACTAGTTGCTAGAAGTTGCTGACTAATCAAACCTTACATATGTGACTCGTCCTTAAGGCGTTTTATCGGCTAAAACATCGTTCGCAAACGTTTCACAACGCGACCTGTCACCGCTTTTTTCTTGAGCGCTGCCATTACAAGTTTCCATTGATGTATTGTACTAGTTCTACTGCTTTTTCGTGATCAGTCTTTTGATATTTCTGTTAAGTTTGATTCCCAGAACTTGGACGAATAGAACTTGTACGTGCATGCGTAAGAAGACGTGAGTGCATCGCCTGCGTTAGATAGGCAGTTCCCGTTATGATAAATGCATCGGAGCAAATGCCGTGAATTGTTATCGAGCTGTCTGTAGCACCACTCCTTTCGCAGGGGCACTGAGAGTCTGGGGAGAAGCTCGGAACAGAGGCGATGGGGGCAGCGCTCCCCGCGCTAGGAGTGCTCTGCGGCGCTTCCTCAGGATATTCGCAGATCAGCCTTAGCGATTCAGGAGTGCTCCCTCTCCCAGCGCCAGCATTGTAACCACTCGTGCCCGATTGCATCAAGCTCGATGGTAGCACTCCGTAATCGGCTGGTCAAGGGGAGGCGCTCGCCATCGAAGGCATCGATCAGGACCATCTGCGACCTCGGCGTTCTGAGATCGGCAAACTCTTCGGAACGCTCATTTGCTGCGGACCCACAAGTGCTGCATGCTGACAAGCTGCTCCAGCACCTATGGATTAATTACGTTTCAGGGACAGCGTCCATATCCATCGGTTTGTCCTTGCTCCATCCAGCCCGCCATAGCCCGCCCCTGATTCCTTCCTAAGTCCTCACAACCCCCCCTCGAATCTCTTTATGCCTCGCTCGTCCAGCGCTATAGCATGTCACAAAGAGAAGCGATGAATCGGCTAGCGGCCAGACAGCTGTCGACATGGAGCCCTGAGTGCCCCAGCCGTGTGCGAGCCAGCAGGTACTTGCCGCAGGGGCTGAAGGCTACGAACTGCGCCTCCAGATCCGAGAGCTACTTGTCCGAGCTCGGCAAATATCCCATGGGCCCATGGCGGCCAGCAAGAAGGCTTGAGGCCGTGCGCACAGCTTTCGCGAGCTCGACATTCCATTTCCTGCCTGGTCTGGCACATGTGGTCGCAGGTCGAAGGAGGTGAATTCTCCTGCATACAGGGGACAAGGAAAGGGCTTCAAGGAGGAGACGGCAGTGCCTTTAGCATAGTTCCGCGTGTCGAAGAGGTGCAGCTTCGGCTGGCCCACACACGCGGCAAAGACTAGCCCCTGCCTCAGCCATTTATGCGGAGGGCGGACGCACAAGGCTGTGAGATTTGTTGCCGGGAGGCTGGTCGAAGCTGGCGATGGTGGTGCCTCCAACGACACATGAGCTCTCCGCTGCTATCGGAGTATCGCATGGCGCTCTCTACTTGGCCGGACCTTGCCTTGGCCATTGATCTTGGCCACCGGCCGCTCCTTTCGTTTTGAGAACTTCCAAAAGAGAGCCCGGGGGCCCCGGGGCCCCGTGCCTGGCGCAGGTCCCAGAGGAGCACCGCACGGTCCTACGCGAAAGAAGTACTGGAACTGGAAACCGCTTCTAGCACACTTCCGGTGGTTTCTGCATCGTCCTCAGAGCCTGAGAGGAAGAGGTCCTGCAGAGAAGGCGGGCCCAACAGCGAGAACCTCTCATCTTGGAGTCTCCTCGTACGGGTGGGGGCTCACCTTTGCAAGCAAAGAGACAGCATCCGTCAGCCTTGGAACGCTTGGCTTCTCTCAGCACGCGGCCGAGGTGACTCTGGCGGTGTGGCTGCGGAAGAGCCCTTGGCAGTCACTGCCCTGAGCGCCCCTGTAACCACTCTAAGCCCAGTTGCGATGCAGTGGGTCCCTGGCGCAGATATTTGTTGTCGTGGAAGTCCCAGTACTTGAGCAGGTGCTCAGCCTCAGGTACTAGCATTACCAGCTCATGCCCCCCAGTGAAGAAACTCGTCGGCGCCACTTGCCCGGTAGCTCTGCCCTGCCAGTCGCCTTTTGAAACCCCTTTTGAAGCGACGACTCGCCCTGTGCCCTCCGCCCTCGGCACTCGCGCCTCACTCCGGGAGGCAGCCACCGCACAGTCCCTGCAGTGCGAAAAAGTCCAGAGGAGGACACTTGGTGACAGCAAGCCATAGCAAGCATCGAAGCCTACAAAAGGCCCTAAGCGCTGGAAGCCTATCGTTGTGGAGGAAGCGGATCAAGCCCACGCCGTACTTCTCGCAGCCTCCGACAGAGACTCAGACAGGTGAGACCGAGGAAGACTTAGAGTAAGCTCTCCTCACTGACGCCCCAATTTTCCAATTCTGTGCGGTCAAAGGTGCGGAGGTGCCGGACGCGACCCGCTTTCTCGCAGGAGTAGACGTACACGCTCTTGTCCTCGCATGGTGCGAGAGATTGTGACAGCTTCTGTACTTACTTGTATGCACAACTTCCGCCAGGAGAGGACGCGGGGATGACACCTGTCATGCTTCGGAAGGCGACGACAATATGCGAAACTGTCTAAGTGTGCAGCAATTATAGTACTGAGCAGATACATTACATGTCACTGCCCGGTAGTGTCCTCGCCGGAAGTCACCAAGTGCTGGCCATCGTATGTGAAGTCCATCCTCACCGCCACATGCGTGGACAAAGCGAGCCGGCACTTGGCCATGAGGCACGGGCCCGCTAACTGGGCCTTTGTGGTCCCTGTAGACCTTGCCGACTGCCAGGCTCTGCACCTCACAATTTTGAGACTGGCAACCTCCACCGATTCCTGGGCAATGCAGAAAGCGATAACTAACCAGGGGCGGCACCAACCCATCGCTAAGTTTCACCTTGCACTGCGACGTCGTCTCTTTCTTTCTTATTCAAGTGATGCCGGGGCGAGCCCCACCCCGGCCACAGGTCGGAATTGCTTTCTTTAGCTGCACTTTGTCTCTGTCGCTGTCCTGCTGCCTTCGCTGCCTTGCTGCATGCAGTAATGTCGAATCCAAAGGTCGCGCCTTTGCGGTTGGTCGAGACCTCAGCGACATGCCACCCCTCCCCTTCCTCCCCTTCTCCTCTCTCTCTCTCTGTGCATCACATCCCTCAGGTCCAAGCGGAGCCGGAGCGGCCATGGCACCAAGATTCTGTGGAGCCGTTTTGCTACACAAGCAGCTTGGGATGGTCTGTCTCAATGCTCGGGAAATCGTGTGGCACAGGTTACATCAAAGCCAAATACGATACTGCTTCAGTTCATCACCTCATATGTGGAATCTTGAGCCAGTCCCCGCCAGTCG